TTTATTAAAGTAAAACTGGTCAATCTACTGCTAAAAAAACACACAATTAAGAGATAATTAGCTATAAAAGAACTACAAAACATGCATACAAACAAAACTGTTTACACTTTGATGGACACTAATGCCAAACACATTTCGACCTCAAGAGGTCATCATCAGCGGCAAAACTAATTAATTCATATAATACAAATCATTAAGATTGTTTTGCCACTGATGATGACCTCTTGAGGTTGAAACGCATTTGGCATTAATGTCCTTCAAAGTGTAAACAGTTTTGTTTGTATGCATGTTTTATATTCCAATACACTACACGGTATGCAAGGTTTTAAGATTATAAAAGAACTGCCTGGTGGATACCATCTTGTAGGCACCATTCATAGCAAAGGCAAGTCTATGGGAAGTGTTACCTCAAAGAGTGGAAGATCATGGCTGAGGAACTTAGGAAGGTTGACATCTTTGATGGAGCGCAGTATTAGGATATCCTCAGACTCTTCTGGGTACTTAAGTTTCAGGTTTCCAGCAGCGGACAGTACAGACTTCACAGCACACATTCCTCACAACAAAAACCATTACCATTAGTCACAAGCAAACATGCACTGAATTCCAGTTGCTAAATAGAAAGCAATTAAGTAATATTATAATATTGAAACTACATTATATTTATTTTTGTCCTGTTCTTATATCCTACCATTCAACACACTAAATAAATTCATATAACCTAAAATTATGCTTAGTCTCTTTCAATTCCATAACAACTGTAAAAACATAACTGAATATAGTGATAATTTTATGGGAAAAAGAAACGGTGATTTCAGTTTTATACATATCCAAAATCCATAAACAAAATTAAATTATAATGTCTACTTCACAAACATTGACTCTCTGATTAAAATGAAGTAAAATTATATCAAACATGAAAATATATATTGCAATCTTACTTATTTTCCAAAATTTTCTTTGTTATTATGCATACTTTATTTGTCTCAATGTTCTTTCACTACAGATACAAAACATATTGCTGTAAAGTTAATTGTACTATGCATACTATGAGTAAAGCATAGTCATATTTTCCTCCCCCGCACCCAATTAAGTATACACAGTATCAAAAAATGTTTCAAAAGAAGTGAGAAGTGAGAAATGAGGTCTAGATTTTATGTTATTGTTCTGATTATTTTTTACAATGATCCATTTCCAGGGAGAAAGTTTAAGTTCAATTTGAGCTTCATGAAAAACATGGGGTAAATCCTAATATCTTTGAGTATGAGCTTAATATCACCAGAATTCATCAAAATCTGGAGAGTAGTTTTGGAGATGAAATATGTTCACAGAAAAATGGATGGACAGACAAACATGACCTCCCATGTGTTCATCTCAAATATATGATTTGAAGCTTTCGCAGCGACGTAACTCAATAAAATTTTCTTGGGTGATCAGTCGTGTCAGACGTGGCTGATAACCTAAGAAAATTTCATTCATTTCAAATACTTTGTAAAAAGAACATGCATTTGTATGTCTCATTTCCAAAAATTCTACCTACCATAATCATAGTGGTGCTGTGAGGAAAGTAGATCTGAGCACAGTTTGTACATGGTCACAATCTTTACAGCTAGGCGTTGTGCATTCACAAAACCATGAGAACACAATATAACTTCTGAAATGAGGGCATAGTCTGGCACCATCATTGCCACTGGTCGAAACAATGCCTGCAGTACGGGAAAAATAAAACTCTACATGAACCCAGTAATAATTCAGCATTATTTATTATTATATTGCATTACAAAAAGATTTTTAGTCCACTTTATGTTCTGTTTTATAAGGTACAATGTTTGTATGCCTGTGTGTCCACATATCTGCTTCTGCCTTTGCCTGGAAACCTTTGAATAAATAAACAGATTGTATTAAATTTTCCACAGACATCATGTTACTGGAGTCAACCCCATCATTGTAGTTTTCATTTATGAACTGTCAGTAATAAAAACTAGACAGCTATGTGAACTTTCTGTGGTGTAAGTTGGTGCACATTGGTTACATTTTAGTTTTGGGAAAAATCTTTGAAAACCATGGAACTTTTTAAGGTATTTTTCTTCACAGTGTAAAACAATGAATATAAACTCATTCAACCTTCAGTCTGACAGTGACAACTAATTAACTGCTACAAACTAGCAATGTGAAAATTGGTATGAAGTAGTTTTTGTAAGCAACGCATATCAAAGAACTCACTTAATTTACTATTATTTGGTTTAAGAGACCATTACTTGCTTTCAGTCACCTAACTGCATACTTTTTTCAGAGGAAAGCTAAGTGAAGACTTGGGTTTAAATACAATAAATGAAAATAATATTCATAGACATCTATAAACACCAATTACTTATTAATTTAGGTATCTGATACTAGCTACCTTTTGCTGTACCTTCCAGATACAGTAGGGCACTGCATATATAGCAGGTTAGGGACCAGACCCCCACCGAAAAGCGGATCTTTGCCTTTTTTCAATTGCATATGCATATCAAAGCCTAATAAGATGTTTACACTATCATATAGTAAGTGCACAATAGCGCTAGGTCTAAAAAACGATATGAATATCAGTAGTAGCTGTAAACAGACTGAATCAGCGATGATAAAATGGCGCCGGACGCACTTTTCTGACTCAGCTGTTGAGTGCGTGGGGCATATGCACGCAATTGAAAAGCGCCGTATTAGCGGATCGCCGAAAAGTGGGGCGTCAAAAAGCAGGGCCCTACTGTACATAATGACATGAATCCCAGTGACATTGCCATTTTATACAGATTGGGATGGCCCCATTGCCATTAGTATATAAATGTATTGTGTCATGTCTAACATTTATTCTTTATTATAACCCATATTCTACTGAAATACTATATCTGTTGTGCATCAGCCTAGGGTTGAACATACAGCCACAGAATAACAATCTATTAATGATAAAATCAATAAAAACATTAACATATAATATGCATTTAAATTTAATTTCTTTATCATTGCATTATGATCAGTTAACTGTTACAAAATGAAAATTGGAATTAAGATGAAAAACTGTATCTGTGGAGATAGCAACTATGTAAACACACTCTGGTTAAAAAAATACAGTCAACTGATGTATTACAGTAACAACAATGAAATTACTAAATACTAACCTTGAGATTGTCTGGCACCTTAGTGCGGCCAGCATGTTCTGGGTTCATTGTAATAAATACAGCACATGTAGGATCTAGCTTTAATTCTGTTCCCTCAAATATAAACTTCTGGACACTTAAGCTTAAGGCCCTCTGAATGGTCAATATCTGCTGTGCCACCACAGAAAGCACCTCAAGATCAATATGGTTGAATTCATCAAAACACAACCAGGCCCCACACGAAGCCAATCCCTGAAAAAACACACAGAGATATGTGAAAAAATGTAGCAAATTTTGAATCCAATATTTTCCAAGAGTACCCACCACCTAAAAAGCTGCCCACCTGTACATTTTCTCCATGAACTGGCCTGAAAACTCACTGACACAGACACGCACATCAGGTAATAAGTTATCACTCTCTTGATCTAAAGCAACATATGAAAACATGAAAGTGTAAAACTATATATTCCTGACTTTGGAACTAGGCAGAAGTACATATCACACTCTAACCTGTGATACCCATTTAAATACAGGCTAGGTTAGTCCTACAGCTGTTAAATATTTGGTGGAATAATTTCATCCACAAAGGAACTGTTTTATTCATAACATTAAAAGGGTTAGACCACATGGCCCAACAAAAGCATGATATACAGTTCCACATTCTCAGACTAGTATGATGAACTCCTCTATTTGCAATATATGTGAAATTATATAATGATTAATTTGGCCATAACTTCTGAATATTGCTTAACAAACACATTCAAGAACCAACAAATAAATACAATAAAATAAATACAGTATAAGCCTAAATAAGAAATATTTATGTATAAAAAGTCACTAAACTTTATAAATTCTTACAATATGTACATATGAAGGCACGAAAATAAGTAATGCTACCTAAGCACCCCGCCACATACTGGGAGAAGATATTTCACTGAACCAAAAATGGGTACTTTCCATGACCTTTATTCTGTAATTTTACACAATTACTTTTTTAAAATACTCAACTCTTCGGTCCACATACTTACACCTACATACAGATAGCAACATTGAGTCCAGCATGATTGAATTGTCTTTTAATGGAAATCTTCATTGCTGTTTTGACTTCATCATCTGACACAGACTGATGTTTCTCAGATGTTCCTTCAGTTTTGGGAGTAGATGGAAGTCAAATGAAGAGAAGTCTGTATAGTGGATGGTCCAAAACAGTGATATAGAGGCAGTAAATCTGTGAGTGTCATATTGTTGTGTTGGAGAAAATTTGTACATGTTAGGACAAACTCTTAAAATATGAAATTCCTTCAGTTTCTACAGCATTTGAACATAGCACTCAGAGTTAGTGGTGGCAGCTGAAGGCATGAATTCTGAATGCACTACGACATTAACAGAAATCACCAGATATCAGTGGGTATGTCTTTGCCAGTAGAAGATCTGGTTTTGAAATTCTATGGTGCAGGTAAACCTTTGTTATGATATTCCACTGACTGTCTTGTCTTCTGGCTCAAAATGATGCTTCCAACTTTCATTACAAATGACAACGTTGCACAAGAATCCCTCTGCCTTCACATTCATATCACAATAACAATTGTCAGAAAATTTCCATCTGCTTCTGTTTCAGTTCTCTAGTGAGCACTCAGGTAACGTATCACACACATATAAATTCCATTGTCTGAGATCAGCAGTTATTACCTGCACCTGCTCACATGATATGAATGACTATTGCCTGCTGAAAAATATTACAGTTCTCCTTGATCATTTCATCAGTGAGATTTTGGTGAGCCTTATCAGTTCCTGTTCATGGTCTTTTATTAACGCTGCTTGTCATTCCAGATAGCATGTTGAAGGTTTACATTGCGGAAACATGCAACCCAATATCAAATACTACTGATGTTTAAACAATCATCTAGTTCCATAAAAATGGGTCAGTTGGTTAGAGTTGGGGTGCTCAAACAAACACACACACAAATAGCATGGTGATCTAGCAAACATATTTTTTCTTTAAGAAAGAAAATTAGCCTAAAATACATTAATTACATACTTTGAAGAATTTCCCAAGAGAAATGTGGTCAAGTCCATCTGAGCAATTGAACACCACACATTGTTTGGCAACAGCCTTTGCCAGTCCCTTTGTTGTTTCTGTCTTCCCTGTACCAGCTGGGCCCTCTGGAGCACCCCCTACAATAGACAAACACATGCCACATATCCAACTGTCTTACACTACAATCTTCAGTTTTACATACGTGTAAATACATCCAGTAGTCAACAAGTGTAAGTTTGTTACAGAGTGAATCTGAACAGCTATAACAGCTCTGTTGGTGAAGTGACTGGCTTGGGAGTGGGCACTGTGTTTGTTTCTCTACTGGGGCAGGTTCTTTTTTTATCTCCTGTCACCACTATGTCAAGATTAGATCTAAAGCCTGCTTAGTTCCCTGTCTGATGAGTATCAGGATATCTTTCACCATAAGTAAAGTAGCCAAAGTGAGAAGATGAGTATTCACCTCCATCTAGTGATGATTTTAAGAATGCATACAACATTACCTTCTCACATCCTGCATTCTTTCCTCGTGTGGGCTTTAGTCACAGGAAGTATTATTTTGCATCATCTATAAACCTAATAAAGTCATCATTTTCAAAGAGGGACATTTGCTCCATAACCAAGATTCAAACCAGGTAGCCTCCAAATGCAATTTAAATGCAATATCATTCTGCTAAACTATTTAATAACTTCATATTGCCCTCAGATGGTGGCTGGTAGTATTATTCTTCATTAAGCTTCGGCAAAAACATGTATAACACACAGTGTGTGCATATATCACTTCATCACACTAGATACAGCCCGGCTGTGTAGATTGCAACTCACCCAAGTGGAAGTGCAGTGCTCCAAACAGGGTCCTATAGCATCGGTCAGTTAGTGGCGTGATGACGAGACGTGGTGAGTTTCCAAGGTACTCATATCCATACATCAGCTGAGAGTTCATCATATTAGTTGCTAGCATTTCGTCCTGCATAACAAGATACAACATGAGGCAGAAGAAGTGCTAAGCTAACAAAACGCATGCTTCTATAAGTGACAACATACCCTCCAGTAATAGCGAAGCTGGCACAGCCACTGAAAGTCATTATCCCTATCTACTGCCTTGTCTATTAGTGTTTGTACCACATTCCGGGCATGCATGTCCAACACAATCAGAGCACCTGAAACAATTACAATATATCGCAAATTTGTTGAAGCTCTTAAATCTTACCAGATGAGGAACCAAAGACAGTGACTGAATAACACCCCATTAAGACAGGTTAGTGTGTGAATAGAATATTTGGTTATCTCTTGCCAGTGTCTGTGCAGGTTGTTTCTTTGGCAATTTCCATGCCTTTTTCACCTTTCTGAATATATACAAATGGAAACTGTGAGGTTATCCATGTCAACAATCAAGATAGGGAATTACACTAAAGAAAATTATGCACAAAAATAGGTTGTCTTATGCAGTTAATAATTTATGCCAAATGGATCCCTCATCCCACATTCTCAGATTGAGGACTCAGAAGCTGGCCTCCAGATATAGCACAAATACACTGAATAAGAAGTTGGATGAAAATTTATAGCAGGTGGTCTCCTAAATAAAAAATTGGGTTTGGGGCTAACAACCTCCTGCCATAAAAGCTAGCATATTATAAAATTTCATTTTTCCTAAGTTCCAGTTTAAACATGTTCTATTATAATATAACATCACTCTATATCCCCTCCCAATATATCTGCAGTCTTGTACAGTTATGTAAACCAAACTCCTTTCAACAGGAGAAAGGAAACTGTTAAGCCAGTGCTGTCATATCTTTCACTGACATACCGAGGGTGATCCTGTTTTGTGTGCTAAGTTTCCTACGCACAAGATCCACAATTTTGTTGATCTGATCATTGCACACTCCCAGATATCCACTTAGGCCACCAGGTCCAACTCTGATTGCATTGTGAACTTCTGAGGTCCAATATGTCATGGCAACACAGAGCACAGTCTGTCCTGGCCACTTCAGCACCCAGCAGTCTCGGTCCCAGGTGGGGTACACCTTCCATGCATTCTTCACTTGCTGTGAAACACAGTAACATTGTCAGAAGAAAATAACCATATAATGCAGTTATTGTTTCTCCCTGTCTTTCCACTTAATATTATCACAGTTTTACACACTCCCTTTTTTTCCCTTAAATCAGTAGTTATTTGTTTATTCGTCCATCAACCCTAAACCTCTTTCAACCTGTTTAGATGGACAATATAAAGGGAAAGTGTGTGTGTGTGAATCAGCAAGTAAATGGGTGGGTGAGGTAGTGAGTCAGTGAATGAGTGAGTCAGACTTTATAACAATGATGTCTTAGCTGAAGAAGTGATGCAGCTTGACACATGAGGACACATGGTGAAATTTAAAATACTAAAATGTACTTAACTTTCATATTCAAGATCTGCCATGTATCAGGTGAGAAGTTCAGCGTTAATAACCGAAGTTCTGATAATGCACTGACTGGTCTTCTATATCACAATTGTAAAGTATGCAGCAATTATGAAATGAACACTGGTAAGGGAAAATCTATTTTACTGCAGTTTTGTACATGATAAATTCAACACAGACTGTCTTGGACTTTAACCCAGGCTTTTGCAATGAGAAGACAGTATCTAACAATCTGATCTACATGGCATGGTTATTTTACGGTATTACTCCAGCATTCACCTATAGAAAGCCATGAAAATCCTAAGCGAGGAAGATGGCCACAGGGAAGTTATAAAATAGGCAAGTCCCAAATATGCCTTAATCTTGCAGCCAAGCCACATTTGTGAGCCACTATGCAGTAAAGTTTTCTTTACCATATGAACACTTTTCTTCATATCCCCCTCCAGCTCCAACAGCCACTTCTCTACCTGACCCTGGGCATGCGATGTGGAAATAACATCAACCAATACCACTTCCTCCCCCTCACTGGACTTCATGGTGGTGACATCCAGATCATCTGTGAAATGCAAGCTTGCAATCCCCTCAAAACACTTTTTCAGATGTGGCTGAACACTGAAAAAAATAACATAACAGAGCAATGATGAGTTTCTTCAACTGTATGACATGTGTTCAATATACAGAACACTAAAAATGCTAATAATTTATTTCTTGGTTTATTAATGTGTTGGCAACTTAAATTGTTAGGAACTGAGGAGAATCATGAAAAGCTTCACTCAGGACAGTCAAAATGCAAATACAGATTCAAACTTGGATTCTCATATACGAGGTGCGATCGGAAAGTTTCAAGACTGCACCTATAAAAACCCGTACACTTATCTCAGGTATTAAATTCATCCATCACCCTCGAAGTATTCCCCCTGGGAGTGAACACAACGATTATAAAAACCCGTGCACTTATCTCAGGTATTAAATTCATCCTTCATTCTCGAAGTAGTTCCCCTGGGAGTGAACACAACGATCCCAGCGCCGCTGCGAAGCCTGGAAGCATCCCTGGAAATCTTTCTTTGTCAGCCTGTCAAGCACCATCTGCGATTCTGCCTGAATCTCTTCTATCGTCTCAAATCTCCTTTCCTTTAGCTGAATTTTCATCTTTGGGAAGAGGAAGAAGTCACACGGAGCTTAGAAAGGAAGTTGGGGTCGGTTCTTGCAAGATCTTTGAGCTCCTGACAAACGAGAAGTCGATTCTGCTTCTGGTCCTCAGACAGGATGCGTCGCATGTGGAGTTCTTCCTTTAGAATCAGCTGACAGGTCCCATAGTCTATCCCAACAATGTCGCACAAGTCGTTGATGGTACGACGTCGCTCTTCGTGAATGGCCTGCCGAATCTTGGTAACATTTTCGGGCGTTGTGCTCGAAGATGGTCGTCCAGAACTCTCGTCATCATCGACAGAGGTTCGGCCGGCCCTTTTTAAAACGTGAATGCCACACAAAAGTTTGTGCTTGACCCATTGCGGACTCCCCAAATGCTTGCTTTAGCATTTCATAGGTTTCCTTAGCCGTTTTGGCGAGTCTTTGGCAAAATTTGATGCACACGCCATTCCGCAATCGCAGGAGGGTCGGTGTAATGCACTACCAAAACGCCCGTAACTAAGAAACAAATGCTAATTCGATGATGCCGGCTGGCACACTGATTCACTATGAATGTAGGCCGCACCCCCTAGCGGCAGAAGCTCGTACTACATCCGGTTCGCCCTCTAAGACACCTTGAGAATATCTAAGAAAATCTGCCATCTTCTGACAATATAATCTGAACCTAAATCAATGGAAATGAAGACATATCTCCCTCTGTGCCTCATAACTGTGCTACAAATATGACTTTGCATTCCTAGCTCTTTACTAAAATCAGTGAGCATTTAGCGACCAGCACTCATGGTATAAGAATAAGTGATAATCCTGGTCTACACCAGAAATTTAATGCTGCTACTTCAGTGTTTAAGCAGAATAACAAAATAATAAAGGTTTTAAACAAACCGAGTGGGATCCTTCGTTTCAGATAGGATTTCAAGTAGTTCATCATTTGACAGGAAAAAAAATCGCGGAAAGTAGAGCCGCTTCTTTTCCAAGTAGTCATTGAGACCTCTCTGTATCACCTCCAGGAGGCTACTGCACTTCTTCAGGCGTTCCAGCATTTTGTCAATTTCCAACACAGATAACACCTTTGGATCACTGACCACCAACTTCATGATGTCTCGCCAGATCTACACAACAAAAGAAAATCAATCTTGAAGTCTTTCATCCCTGAAGATGGAGACAGAATGTTTCCTTAAAACACTTGTATCTATACACACAGCATTACAACCTGGAAGAACAACATGAAATCATAACTGATTATGCTACCTAATAAAACAAAACACTATTTAGACAAACAATTCCCCTACCCCACTTGGATACAATGGGCCGATAAAGGGTAAGAACCAGCAATATATACATAACATTCACTTCTATCCAATTATGTCTCTCTGCTACATTGAGTCTCAAACAAATCTGGCACAGAATACAAACCTAACCAATGGTAACACAGTACAAGGTGTTCCATTCAAACCTCCGACATTTTAATCAATCATTACGAACAAATTATGATAAATTAAGGATTGTAATTAGCACTAGAATGAAGAGAAACTCAAAGAATTTTATTTGCAACTATATAATGTGATGTAATGTAACGTAATTTTTTCTCTGATTAATAAGCAAAATGGCGACTCCACAGCAGCGTGCACAAACAGAAGTGTGGTATGCGGAATCAAAATCAATAATTTCAGTGCAAAGAAATTACTGATGAGTGTACGGAGGAGATGCACCTGATGGGAAAACAATTAAGGTACGATTCGAGAATTTTCTGGCGACTGGAAGTGTTCTAAAACAATCTGGGGGAGCTCGTCGAAGTGTTTCTGAAGAAATCAGTGCAGGGTTTGAGAGAAGCCCGAGCAAATCAATTCGCCAAGCATCAACACAATACAACGTGCCGCGATCAACAGTGCATCAAGAGCTGCATAAGCGGCTTCGTTTATATCCTTACAAAGTGCAAATTGCTCAAGAATTGAAACCAGATGACAAGCCATGTCAACAGGAATTTGCTACCAAAATGCTAGATCGTATCGACACGAACCCTCACTTTCTTGGAAACATCTTGTTTTCAGACGAGGCCACATTTCATCTGTCTGGGATTGTCAATCGGCATAACGTACAGATCTGGGGAATGCAAATCTACAGAGAACATGTCCGAGACAGCCCAAAATTGTACATTTGGTGCGGCCTAATGAAGGACAGGATTATCGGTCCGTTTTTCTTCGGAGAAGCTATAGTATCTGGCCTCGTATACCTTGACATGTTAGAACAGTTCCTGTATCCCCAGGTAGCCAATCTGCAGCCTAACATAATCTTCCAACAAGATGGAGCCCCGCCACATTGAAGTCTGGATGTTCGGAGGTCCCTCAATACCATCTTCCAACATCACTGGATTGGACACTGTGGATCAATTTGGTGGCCACCACGTTCACCGGATCTCACTCCGCTGGATTTCTTCCTCTGGGGTTATGTGAAGGATCGTGTGTTCGTTACTCCAGTGAATGACCTACCAGATTTACGAGCCTGTATCCGTGGTACGATTGCTACTGTAACAATGGGAATGTTGCAGAGAACATGGCAAGAAATTGAATACCGAATAGATATTGTTCATGCTACCAATGGTGCACATGTAGAGGTTTATTAGCGTGTGCCAAATAAAATTTTTGAGTTGTTCTTGCATTTTCTGTGGTTTCATTTTCCTACCATTCATACTTTCTGCTAATACAATCTGATAAAATGTGGGGGGTTTGAATGGGACACCTTGTACTATTGCCCTTCATACACACTCTACCACTACTTACACATGTAACTGGCAAGATATCAGTTTAACTACTATGCCATTAAGAATATTTTCACTGAGTATACATCCCAAATAGAGTCATAAGAACCAAAATTTAGACAGTCCCACTCACTACCTGTCAATAATGGAGTCTTGTCACAAACAACACACATCACTATAAAGATGGAACTAGAAATATATTTAGTCTCCATTTTTTGCTCTTAGTCAAAAGAACAATTTGGTTTCCTAAACAGTCCACCACTGAAAAATGTATTGTGTTTAGTTTTCCAGTTCTTTTGAAGTTAAATTGAACTCTTCATAGTCAGAACAGGGAAATTCTTTATAATGGGCACACTTTTAGAAAACATTAGTTTCAAATTGGTATTCAGATGCCAGTAAGGATTTCAGAAATGAAAACCAGCTTCCAGTAGAGCGCTGAACTAGACAGTGGAGATGTATGATTCCTTAAAGGTGAAATATGGAAGCATCAGCCTGTGTTGTACTCATATTCATAGTTCATGCAAATCAAAATTATATTCATATTTTAGTTACTCCCAATTTATTTCTAAATTCAATATGTTTGCTGGAGTCTTTGTACTCTGCCAAATAATGTTTAGTTATTATCTTTTATAAGTTTACTGAGATGTCTAAATTACAACTGCTTTGCTCTGGTCGTATAATATCAGCTTTAAATTATAAATTAGAGACTATCAAGTTCACAGATTTCTTTCTAAAGAATCAGATGCAATGCATAATAAAGTAAAGACTTATGTAGGTATAAAGTTAGGTTAGAGAATACTGTCTTGATTCAAATTGTCATGATATAAAATACTAGTCAATTCTGATGCAATTAAGTCTTGTCATCAACCTGACATTAGATTTATTGGATTTAAATGGCACTGTACAAAAAGGTCACAGCTTGTTAACTATGTCAGTTTGGGCAGTGCCCCATTTTAAATATAAACTAAACTATTATTGCAGTTTAGGTATGTGAACAGTGTACATTCACACATAAATATTTACCTGTAGATGACATGATGTGTCATTTGCAGGACATGTTTCTAATTTAGTACTTGTGTGATGCTTCAGAATGTGAAAAGAAAGTTATTTTCAGTCATAATTATGCTGTCCCATCAATGAAAAAGCACCCCAGTTGAGGAGGTAGTTTGTTGGAGAGTGAAATGGTGAGGTGTAAAAGGGGGATCTAGAGAGAAATATTCCAAAATGGGGCACTCTTTGCCAGGACCTACCTCTTTTAAGGAGATTTCTATATACTGAGAAAATAACATTTAGCTAGTCTCAAAAATAAGAATTTAATATATTTGAAAAATCTACTTCTAGGAAGATGTTTTGATACTCTTCATCTTTCATATTCATATTTATGAACATGACGTGATAATAATTTTGTAAAAAAAGTTAGCATTTGCAATTGTGAAAATGACTTAAAAAATTTTATTTCTAGGTTTCACTGATTCTAGAATCACTGGTACTTGCATCTGACAACATTCAAATGTGCTAAAATTTGCAATTTATCTTAAATTTTGATATACAGGTGTCCCAACAGAAAAAATAAGGCACAAGCTGTCACTGGTACAGAAGGTACATAACTGACGATATTATTTCTGGTATACCTTGAAACTAAAAGTGTTCCTGATAACGTAAAAACAGGTATGTTTCTTTCTTTAGTTAATGTCTTGTCCTTTCCCACACAATGAATTATATTGGAGCTTTGTTATCAAAAACCGTTCTCACTATTAGAGATTTATATTTTGTTGGTAAACCTAACAATCCTGCAACCTCAATTATCAACCCAGCTATTATGATATTATTTCCAACCAATATTTTGATTCTAGCGGTTCAATCCATTTTCTGGGATAATTTTATCATAAAAAATAGATGTGGCACCAGACCCAAGCCTATAGTTTTCTCTTTTAGTAATCAAAATTATGAGTACACTGGAAAATGCAAAATTCATGCTGCCTGGATATTAATTCCAGTGACTGTTACAACTTAATAGCACTGAATTGATTGACAGACTCTGCAGTGTCAAAAGAGTAACATGGGTAATATTTAGTGAAATAGAAGGGATAGGAAGAGGAGGACAATTGAGATACAGTCTTGGTATTAACCTAGATGGACATTTAGGGTGCAACAACATTTACATCCTGAATAAAAAATTGGGATAACACAGCACAGTATAATGCATGCTTTCATCTTCATTACTGTACATAAGAATTTGAATGGCAATAAATATTACAATAAGCTGCATAATTTCTCTGTTAAATTCTTAAATTAAGATGCCAACCTTATCAATAGCACTGAATCTGCGTCCTTCTTCAGGCATCTGAGCTTGGATATCAGGTGATGAGAAAATTGGCTCCAAATATAACCAAGTTGACTGCACTTTCAACCAGTCATCCAGAACTTCCTGTAGCAGTGTTAGTTTGCCTTCCCATGTACTATAAGAATATTACATTATTATATTATATTAATCATGTCCATGTTTAGTGTGTCTGTTAACATGACATGATGCAAACCTCAGGTTGCAGATGGAGCAATAGCCTCCAGTTATGGAGGTTAGCTGTGAATATATTGAATAAGCATTCGCAGACAGCCGATAGGGGGTGGTCCAACAGCTTGGGGGCTGGGTGTGAGGCTAACAACCTTTCACAGAAAAAAAACTGTATTGTTACAAAAAATTATACCAAGCCTCAGAACCAAACAAACTCTTAGGCATGACCAAGGCAAGTAAAAAAGGTTTGGAGATTTGGTGCCTGGAATGTTAGGAGCCTCTATAGGCCAAGGGCAATGAAATCAGTGAGTAGAGAATTTAGCGACAGCGCAGGAGGTGCAATGGGAGGGGGAGCGCATGATCCCATTAAAAAACTTCACATTTTTCTACAGAAAGGCAAATGCTAATCATCAGTTAGGGGCAGGTTCTTTTATTCATAGCAAAATTAGGGCAGCAGTTAAGATTGTAGAATTTGTTAGTGACAGGTTGCCTTATATAATTCTCGAAGGATGTTGATGTGATATTATTGTTGTTAATGTCCATGTCACAACTGAGGACAAAAGTCATGACATCAAGGATAGTTTTTTTATGAAGAAGTAGAATCAGTATTTAATATATTTGGCAAGTATCACATAAAAATTCTGCTAGGATATTTCAATGCAAAAATTGGGAAAGAGGATATTTTCAAACCAACAATAGGCAACAAGAGTCTACATGAACTTAGTAATGACAATGGAGTCAGCAACAAACTTTGCTATGTCAAAAAATCTAATCGTAAAGAGTACAAAATTTCCACTCACAATATTCATAAATACACTTGATTTCTCCAGATGGTAGCAGACAGAATCAGATATATCGTGTTTTACTAGATAATATGAGTTATACAAGTATATTTCATGTGAGGTCATTCAGATTGTGACACTGACCATTAAGTGGCAAAAGTGAGGCTTTCTATAAGTATATAAACTAAGCAAAATTTCATCATAAAAGGATTTGATTTGAAAAAATTAAATAAGGGAGAGGTAAAGGAGCATGTCAAGTTCATATTTTGAATAGGTTTCAAATTTCAGAAACATATAAAGATGATGAAAGTGTGGATATCACGAGGAAGTGGTAAAATATCAGAGACTGTATCAACATTTCAGCCAAAGAGAAACTAGGATACTACAGGAAAAAGCAAAATAAACCATGGTTTGATGAAGAATGTTTAAAATTAACAGATCGAAAGAAATAAAATATCAATGGTTGCATGATCCAAACAGAACAAATATGGATAATCTATGCAATGTAAGACATGAAGCTAGTAGAACCTTTAGGAGTAAGGAAAGGGAACACATGAAAAGGAAAATTATTGAACTTGATAAAAATAGTAGAGACAAAAAGTTGTCAGTGGAACCAAGGTTCCGGAGAATTTGACGTAAATACGTCTATACGGAAAGGAAGTTTATATATTGGTTTTATTCTAAATATTTCCTTTATACATGCTTTACAATTGAGATAAGTTTGATTAAGACATTGCTTATTTAATTTGAATTAGTTACGCTTAAGATGGGTCTGTGGTAGCTAAATGTAAAGTAATGTAATATAATGAAATGTAATGTAATGTAATGTAAGGTAAGATAAGGTAATGTAATGTAAGGTAAGGTAAGGTAAGGTAATGTAATGAAAGGTAGGGTAATGTAATGTAAGGTAATGTAATGAAATGTTTCCTAGGTAACAATAATGCCGAGTAAACAGACGACGTTTCGTAGGTAACAATAATGCCGTGTAAACAGGTGACATTTCGTAGGTAACAATAATGCTGAGTAAGTAATTGACGTTTCCTAGGTACAATAACAATTGATGTTTCCTAGGTAACATAACAATGCAGTTACACTTTTTCGTTTCACTTTTTGCCGAATGACACTGACCCTAAAATATAGACGTATTTACATCAAAAATATCATATATCTGCATGGAGTCATAAATGATTTTAAGAAAGGATATCAACCTCAGACTAATTTGGTAAAGGATGATAATGGCAACTTACACACTTATCCAATCAAAATTTTGAATAGGTAGAAAAATATCTTTAACCAGCTTTTAAATGTTCATGGGACTGATGATGTTAGACAGATTAAAATACATATGGTTGAACTGTTTGTGCCTAGTTTAGATAAAGTTAACAACTTAAAAAGTTATAAATCACCAGATATTGATCAAATTCTAGCAGAATTAATTAAAATAGTTGGTAAAAAGTTGCATATGGAGATCTATAGGCTTATTCAGTTAATTTGGGGTGAGGAAGAGATGGCACAATAATAAAACATCGTCTCTCACACTCAGGGAGGAACACAGATTGCAGATTTTTGAAAATAGGGTGTTGAGGAGGATATTTGGGCCTAGGAGATGAAGAGGATGGGGTATGGAGAAAACTGAATAATAATCAGCTTAAAAATTTGTACTCATCCCCCAATATTGTCAGGGTGATTAAGTCAAGAAGAATGAGATGAGCAGGACATGTGGTGCACATGGATAGGGCAAGAAGTGTGTACCGAATGTTGGTCGGGAAGCCTGAAGGGAACAGACTGCTGGGGAAACCTAGATGTAGCTGGGAGGATAATATCAAGTGGGATCCATAGGAGATCGTAGTTGAAGGCAATTATATTTTTCTGGCCCAGGACAGGGACCAGTGGAGAGCTTTGGTTAATTCAGTGATGAACCTTCAGGTTCCCTAAGCCATCTAGTTAGTTATATTCATCATGTGCACTTGACCTGTTTAAATGATAATCTGTAAGTTTTACTAAGTTAACTAATCTGGCCATTGCTTTGTCTAATTATGAATTAAAATCAACCAAAATTAACCAAGTAGCTACCTCTATGGTTCAGGGTTGATAGTTACTTTTCTGGTAAAAGTCCTGCCTTTAGATAAAGGTTTGTTACTAACTTCAAAGGAATCTATTTTTCATCAGTTCAATCAACTCAACACCATCAAAATGCATTTATCTGAGATTTCAGGTTCTCAAAGTGATGAATATAATGTAGGCTGCCTTCTGGGATGTTGGACCATGTTATCTAGTAAAAATTGGCCAATATTTCATAGGTGCTTACCATCTCCATCATTAAGGAAATCACCCTTGCTTTTCCCCGAACCAAAATTTTTATGTCTATTAATTAGTTGCTTAACCCCAGATCGGTCATTGCCACCTCCTTTCGGAGGTTTCCTAGTCTTTGAAAATTTTTATGTGGATTTCTCATTTTCCCATACATGCTACATCTAATGCTCAGTTAATCCTTCTAGAAAACAGAGTTTATATTCAGCTGTTACAGACCGAAATCAAATTATGTTGATAAATTTTGCTACACACCTCCTATACCAGACAAACATACATGATCATCTAGTGTAATAATTTTATGCATTTCATACAAAGGATATATACAAGAATATAGAAGATAACAAGAAAGCTGAAACTCACATAATGTCCTGTTCAAATGGCTTTATATATGGAGAGCTCTTCATAGTCTGTGTCTTGACAATGTGGTCATCCAGCAACAACTGTATGTCATCCACTGCACATAGAATGTATGTGCCACTTTCTCTGTACAATCTAACACTGAAAAGCATTTCATCCCACTCCTTCTGCATCTTGTTCAAGGCTGTCTCAAGGTTATTCTCCTTAGTAGCTGCTTCACTAATTATTTTAAAACGTGGAAGAAACTCTTGCAATCCAAAGTCTATCACCTTCGCAAGGGTCAAATCTGGACCAGGTTTGATTGGAAAGCCAACAAGTTCAGAAACCTTTTCCCAGTGTCGTTCTTTCATTCCTGGATTACCCAGTGTTTGAATGATGGGCACATGTTCACGGAACTCTTCTATGTTTTCCCGGATCTGTAACCATAAGAGCAACTTATAAAAAAATTTGTACTGAACTGATATTATACAATCAGCACCATTTCAACTCATAATGTCATCATTCCAAACACAAGAGTAAATTATTTTAAAATAGTAGGATGAAACGTTTTCATGGCGGTGAGTCTGAAGATGGCTATGATCTGGGTTGTTGTGCTGTGTAGTCTAGTAGAAGTTGAAACATCAAAAAACTTCTACCAAACTACACAGCACAACAACCGAGAAGACAGCCATCCTTATTTTAGAAAAATTAATGTTTTAACTTTTCTTGTGTTCAACCTTTATGACAGCTTATTGCGACTTACATGCAGTCTAGCTGGCCACGGATCACACTGGCATAGAGATAAATCATAAACCTTAGAGTTGAAATCTGGCTGACGGCTGACAGCCATGTAGTACAGTGGTTTAAATCCCCTATTCTCACAAAATAATGGTTAATATTTACTTTAACTTGCTGGTGGAGACATAGGGATGATAAGAACTGGATACAACATTTTATTCAGAAAATCTGAAGGGAAGATATAATCGAGAGGTCTACTTATTAATGAAAGCATTATAATAAAACAGATATTGAAACAAAATATGTGAGAATGTGGGCTGGACTCATAATACTCAAGAGAGGGTCTAGTAGTGGGCTTTTGTTAACATAGTAACAAACCTTCAGCTCCCATAAAAGATGAAGAGTATCTTGACAAGCTGAGTAAATATTAGTTTCTCAAGAATGATTCTGCTCCATTTAGTTATAGTTATTGTATGGTTTGTTGGTTGGTATATCTGTTTGTTTGTTGGATACTGGAGTATGTAATGCTCTTACATTTTCTAATTTATCGTGTTAGCACAAGGAATTTCGAGAACAATTGTAAATAAAGACAAGATTTTTTTAGATTTTCTGACAGTAAACATTATTTCTTTGTAAACTTCCTTGACTAATAATGTCATACACTTAATCTAATGAAGGCAAAAAAGTTAAATTTCAAGGCAATTTATCTTGTCTGCTGTGTATGAAGAGATAAATAATGATATGTAGATGCATACAATGATCAGTATTTTAGAAACTACAGCATAAGGAGTTGTCCCTCATTTGTGACCTGCAGTGCCATGATAGAAATTTACAACTGTATTATTGAAACCAGAAATCCAAAGTTTTAAAGCTAATCACATCACAATGGATCATGATATATTTGCTCTTGTACTCTGTTAATTATCACCATATCAAGAGTGTTTTAAAGTAGATCTGTCATACACTAACTTTTGTACTATGAACCAGTTTAAACAATAGATGCTACAATTGACAGGCACACACCAAAATTAAATTTGGCTGAATTTTTAAGTGAACCCCTACATTACTTCATCAAACAGTTTTGGAGATAAACAAATAAACAGATGGAAAGAAAAACAGACATGATCTCCCCCAACATGCATTCCTTTTATCCATATTTTGAACAATCAATGTATAAAACTGTCATGAACTGGTAATGTCAGTCTGCTGCAAAGGGATGTAAAGAACAAGTGCTTACAGTGGAAGTTAAATCCTTCACTGCTAGCTGCTCAGCAAATATCTTCTCCAAATTGTGAATGGTTCGGTAACATGTGTCCACATCAGTACTGATTTCATCAGGATCATGTGACCCCACCTGGGTGTTCATCCACAAGTCATGTCTTACAATAAAGTCAGTTGCAGTTTCATATAACTTCTTGTATGGGCTCAGCTTACATACCAGCTGAAAGAATGAAATTATTGCACCAATCTCTCCTTCCAACACCCAAAAAGAGAGGGAAAAGACCCAAAACAGAAAATAATTCCAAGACATCCCAGAAACTCTGCCCTCCTATAGTCTGTGTGGGTGGTGTGATTCTTAGCATAGTAAAAGGACACCAAATTAATACATTTCAAAAAATCACTTAATGGCATTATGGATGTAAACTAATAAATACATATTTCAGCAAAAAAATTAAAATAAGTAATATAAATAAGATAAATTAAAATGACTAAGACTTGATTGAGCTAAAACTAATTCCCCTGTATAGTCAAAACAGAATTTCAAATAACCCATGCAAAACTCACTTTGCTTTACATTCGACCAGAGATCTATCCAGAATGACCATCAGACACAGACTGTCCACTCTGGAATGTAAACTCCACATGGAGTCAAGCCAAATGCCTGGTAACCTAACAGGGCTCACAGAGTATGCAAGGAAAGATTAAATACTCATTCTATCATTCTACCTAGGCCATGGGGCTTGACTCATTATTCTGTAAACAGGTAAAATAAATACCCCAAAGGTGTGAACTTTAAGAATGTCTGTAAGATATTAACAGAAGTGCAATATAAATTAGAACAAATGCAGGTATCAAGACAATTAATTCTTTATCTATAGAGAAAAAAGAAAGATGTTGCTTGGTTTTAAACAAAAAAGGAGTGAAAAATATAATACATGTCAAAAGTTATACATATGACAATCAAGGGTACATATTAAAGCTACACAAAATATTGGCAAATTATGGTAGTGAGATGTGGACATTCGGTCACATAAAGTAGGAATAAAATGGCAGAACTGAGAACTTCAATACACTCTCAAGCTTAAATTAAAAAAACACTGACATTTGTGAAAAACTTCAGGATCTTAGTATAGTTGAAATGATTGTTACAAATAGGAAGTGATGGACAGACCATGCAGATACACTGATTGAAAACAAGTGGCTGAAGATGACATAAAATTACAACGACAATAAGAATGACCATGAAGACATTGGAAGCAAAACTCTATGACCAGTTCAAGAACAGAATAGTCTAATGCAGAAAACAAGTAGAAAAAGATGTATTGTTATTCCTTATACAGATCACAACATACAAATTAGTCATATTTTTAATACCAAGGCTATAACAGTTTGTGTCATATGTTTTTAAGACAGCAGTTTTACCTTTACTTTAGTTTTGCATTTTATTAAATTCAAATGTCTTTACCAGCTGTGTTTACTATTAACCTCACAAGGACACTGCTCTATTAAGTTTTGTTTTATTTAGTTTTTCATTAAATCCAATTTCCTAGTTTATAAAAAAATATGAAGTTGAAGCTTCATGTGATGTACCTCTAAGGACAGCTGGCGAAAGACAGACATGAGTCACTATACACTATTCTATGTAATTACAATAATGGTATAGAAATTATTACTTCTTTCTGCTGAGGGTATTGTGATTGCTCCCACCCATATGCAACTTCTTCCTTATTGAAACTTTCTACTTTGTCCTGAGCATTTTGGATACATGTGTCTAAGTGCTGTGCCTTCTTAAGATACTTGGGCAAATTTTCTAAGCTGCCAAATGTGTTGAAATCTTCCAGTTGCTTTTCATATAATTCCAAATCCTCAATAAATTTCTTAATTCGGAGCTGAAATTAAATATAAACATGTTACAAAAACCAAAATATATATACACATGTAATATAAATAATTTATTAATGAGATATCTTCAAGAAATTGATTGAGATATGTTAAAACTTTCAGGACATAAATATGTATACAACACTCACTCTGAGAAACTCTTGATACTCAGCTGATTTCTGTTCAACTATCTGGCGATGTTCATCAAAAATAGTTGGCATGCGAAGGTACCATTGGAAAGTAGAAGAGTTCTGCTTCATCTCAACTTGTGTGAAAGTGGTATAATCAGCGAGAAACAGCATGTACTTGCAAATCTCTCGCAGCCAATTCTCCATTAACAACACAGTTTTGTTCTCCATGTTCTGTACATATGTTATGAAATCCATGAGCTCTGCTGTGTTGGCAGGGAGAGTTAGTGTCTTAGCTGATATTTCCTCATATTCCTCTCCAAGTCTGCAACATGTACATACACTCACACCAGTTATGCTGCACCATATTTAAAGCTGCACACACTCTTAACCTCATCACTTATAAAAATAAGTAATTTGTTTCACACACATTCTATTTTAACCCTGGAGAAAGGGCCCCCTGGTATTAACTGGGTAGGGAGAAACATTTTAAGATCTGGGGAAAATAGTGTTACTGCCATAAATAAAAACCTGGTCATCCAGTCAATAGCCAGAACCTTTATTATACTATCCCATACCACTTTTGTATCAAATGTAAATATTTATCTATGAAGTTCTTCAAATTCTTAACAAACCATTTTAGTTTATTTTTGATTTTAAGAAAAGCTAGGTATGTTTGATCCCTGGCGAGGGCAGAAGATGTTTCCTCTAGCCTCTGCACCCAGACTGTTTCTGAGGCCCACCCAGCCTCCTATCCAATGGGTACCACGGTCCTTTCCCAGGGGTAAAGTGCGGTCGGGGCGTGATGCTGACCACTCAACCCCATCTAGTGCTGAGGTCAAGAATGAGTAGGAACTATACCTTCTCTACCCCCAACCACCTACATGGCATATAGTGGGACAACTTTACTTTTTACTTTTACTTTATAATAATTCCTCCTAGTATCTATAAATTACATTTTTATAAACCTTAATAATGGCCTTGCATACTCATCTCATCTCTCCTCTATAACCCAGTTTTGGTCTTGGTCACCTCTTTTGGAGGTTACTGGTCTATTTAGACATTTGGCAGGACTCCTTGGACAAAAGATCAACCTGTTACAAGGCCTATACTTGTAAACAGGACAGCACAACACAGAAAGAAGTGGACAAACATCTGTGCTTTGAGTGGAATTCGAACCCACTGTCCAAGTGCACAAGGCCCATGCTCAGACTGCATGGCCATTGTGACCAGCAGCCTTACATACTACATTTCCTAAATATAAATAACTTTATACATAAATATATATATTACACCCACTGTCTACATAGGGCTTGGTAGCTGTGTGTCATGTGGGCCAAAAGCTGATCCCTCAGATCCTGTGCCTGCCTCACCATAGTCTGGATCAGTTCATTACGGTGCATCTCATACATCCCCATTGTTACAACATGTTCAGCTCTACACGGGATCTCCTGGGCCAGTCCATGGTACTTCAAGATCAGTGGCACAAACTCTTCAAATGGATGCTCCACAGACAGGAATTTGTCTACTTCCTCCTGGGCCTGCTTATTTGAAATACAGCAGTCAGATAATTGATATCATAATACTGAAAACTTATTAACAATTTCTACTTGTACACATTATTCCTGAAGAGCATAAAGATTTGAATCTAGAGACATATCACATCCAACAATGTACGCTGTCTTATAACAAAGCTTCTCCAGTCCCCCCACATTCTTGTAATCGCCTTGAGTTTACTTTTTCATTTCTCTCTTCTTATATATCTTCCCTCACATATCCTTATACTCATTTACTTTCCATATTTCATTTCCTATATTTCTAGAAAAAAAGACACTACTGCCATACACGTTTCAACCTCAAGAGGTCATCATCAGTGGCATCAAGGAAATTAATTCATTTAATCAAATGGTTTAAACTAGTTATGGCCACCGGACCAATGGATCAACAGCAAAGTGCAGAGTTCCACTTCTGTGAATAACAACATTTAGTACAGTATCACTTGAAATACCTTTGTGAAATACCCTATTCATTATTTATTTTCTAAATCCAGTTTAAAACATTTGATTAAATGAATTAATTTCCTTGATGCCACTGATGATGACCTCTTGAGGTTGAAATGTGTATGGCAATAGTGTCTTTTTTATAATGTTAATAGTTGTTTTGCTTATTTTATATACATACAGTTATAGATGTGTAATACCTCTTCATAAGACATTCCCTTAATTTAACTCAATTATCTTGTGTTTGTAATTACAAATTTTGTATAATATCCTGATATTTGATATTATCTCATCTTGTTCATTTCTTAAAATTCTGCAAGAACTTAGTCTCTGTAATCTACTTCCATCTTCATTTATATTGATACTAATCTTCTGAGTTGTAATGCCCTGATATGGAGGCATGTTTCTCAAACATACAGGAATCAATCTGCATGTCTATATTGCACTACATCCCAGAATACCAACATCTTTACCACCCCAAGAAACTAAAATCTCATATCTTAGTGAATGACCACATTTACACTCTACTCCACATCACCATTATCATTTACTGATAATTCCACTGGAGTATGTTGTCTTATGACAAAATCTCCTTCATTTTTACCTTCTCTTAAGCATGCCTCTTGTATATATGTCCATTCTTTCACTGCCCTACTTTTGATAGATTATCTCACCTTGTCCCTCTATAAAAGAAGGTACTAGCCTATATAAGACAGACTTCTAAAAGAACTTGTCCAGTTCTATGAAATAACATAAACTTACCTCATCATTAACAAGGTGCATATAATCATCAAAATCTTGAACTCGCAACTCAGGTCCAATTCTCTGATCTTCTAGAATGGTGTTAACTCTCTCTTTGTAATTCTCTATGATGGCATCTGGAATGATGGGCTACACAGAGAACAAATATGTTCTGAGCAAGCTGTGGCCTTAGACAGGTATTATATATGCTACACCTAAAAAGTGACAGACTGTATCTGTAATAGCATATGAAACAAACCTTAAGAACTGTCTGGGATCCTCCCCAGTCTATGCAGACCTTTGTTTCAAGCCGGGGTAGGTTCCTGACAGCTGACGTTATTACATCGTACATGTGTAGTAGAGCATCATGGTAGCTGTTGAAGGATGGTTTAAAGACAAGGACCTTGTTCCTCAGGGATATATTCACAATGAACCCTGGATTCATAAGCTATGAAAAGAAGTAAAAAGGGAGAAGAGAACAATAAAAGAAATGTGTAAAACTTCTGCATATGATCTCACACAGATTGGATTAAAATGACTGAAAGAGTTCCATATATCTAAAATCAAGTCCTGTTGTTTATACAGTCCCAGTATAAGAATTCCAAGGAAGGCACCTATACAATGTTACTTAACCATGTGCTGAGACTGATTAACAGCATTGTATATCTCCCAACTTAAACACCCTGAATAAATCTGAAATGTTTATACAGACTTTGACTTTGCTGGGGCCAGCTTCAAAAGTAAAAACTTCAGTCAATAACATACATCATTAATTTATCAGTAGATATTCATCTGGAAAGACACTGCTTTAACATGAAGATGTCTGTCTGCTGGATTGTAGCACCATGTAGTCTGGTAGAAGTTTACTAAGTTTTAGGTAACTTCTACCAGACTACATGGCACTACAATCCAGAAGACAGCCTTTCTTCAAACTCATTATTTTGGAAACTTCAAATACTACTTGCTGCTTTAATAGTTATGAAAACTGTACAACTGTATTTTAGGGTATAAGAGCTCTTTTTGAAGTAAAATATGAAAAATAAAGTACTAGAAATAGGTTAAATTGTTCTTTTGGATTTTATTCAATGTCTAAATTATAAAATTATAAAACTACAACATTTCAGAATCTGGATTCTGCTACCATATTTAGGTAAAAAAGAGGAGGGAAGAGTACAGAATGCCTATCTGTAGGGCCCCTTGATTGAACTACCCTCAGACCTGAATCAGGTTGTAGTTTTATAATTTTATAATGTAAATGATGGACAACTGGGATTCGATGCCTGAGGAGAGCAGACATTTTTTCCTCTAGCCTCTCCATCCAAACCGGTTCTAGGTCCCACCCAGCCTCCTATTCAATGGGTACCTGGGTCCTTTCCCAGGGGTACAGCAAGGCCAAGGCATCTAGTGCCAAGGTCAAGAATGAGTAGGAGCTATACCACATCTCCTCCCATGCACCTATATGGTGTATGGTGGGACAGCATTTTCAGACAATTGACAAAGTCAAAATGAACAATTTTACATATTATAATTAACCACTGTCAAAAGATTGGTCATCTTATCAAATTACATTTTTTACAGCATTATATCATCAACAATACCATTATTTTCACCATCATAAAATTCTTAATCCAACTTTTATCATCATTAAATTATATTAGATGTCCCATTGTACATTACTCGATGGCTCAATATCTAGTCATAACATTTCATGATCTATATTCTCTCTTATAATTTTGAATGGTTCCTGTTCATCATTTTCTTCCATATAAATATTAAAATGAATTCAAAAACACAACTGCAATAAAAAAAAAGTTAACATCCAACAAGTACACCAATCACATCCACAATAGCTTGGTAATTACAGATTATACAATAGACATTACAACACAGATAATAATCTTCAGTCACTTCAATGAATAAGATCAACATTACACAAGGAAATGTTAATGAACACAAGCTAAAACTGCTGATTTATGCACAGGATCTTCTAGTGCATTCTTATTAAAATTTTAGTACCCACACAAGAATACTGGTCACCAGGAGTTTTAATGTGTTTCAATTAATGATGATACAATTTCAGTAGTGACATGCAACTTAGAGTGCTTTTACCATATACCAGAAAAACTAACAACATTTTATCAGTTATTAATAAGAAGATAGTTTTGACTTTTAATTGGAAGATTTAGGGGCAGTTTTTGATTGGTGGTTGTCAAAAGTAAAGCAGTTTGCGAAAAGAAAAGAATACCTGAAGGCAGACCCATGAGTCTGAAACATGATAAATTAGATATTAGGACATGTGCAAATAGGTACAAGTGCATATACCTACAATACATGTGTAGAGATGGTCAATAATAATACATGTGTCAAACAAATTCTAGAAAAAATGTAACCTTTCTCATGTACAGTAAACTCTTTCTGCAAGACATTTTTGTAAAATAATTAATAAAAAGGGATTTTTATATAGTATTAATCAACTAAAGAAATGCTATATTGGCTTTGATAACATTTATATTGGAGGTCCTTGCATATCTGCTCCAGTTTTTGTTTTATTTGGCTTTATCGTGTTTAACAAATTTTATTTCTATTTATTCTTTTACGTCCCTCGGATGGATGGTGTGGTGATGTCTTTTATTCCGGGACTTTCACTTTTTTACTTTGTCCGGAGATAGGGATTAGCTCTATCTAGTGGGCCCAACTGTGTAGGAACCTGAAGACGGAGATAGAGTCCCATCTCTGAAACGTCGTTTTACATTTTATATTTTACTAGAGGATGGATAATATCCAAGGAAATTTTTATTCAAATGCTCCAGCCTGGATGTTTTGGACTAATTATAAAAGTACATCAAAAGTTACTGTTCAGAAACTAAAAATAGAAAGGCAATAAAAGAGCAAATGTACAAGAAGTGTTAAATTATGTGTAATTTCAAAACTTTTTTGAAAGCTAAGTGACACATTATAATACAAAATATTTAGCCAGGTTCAATACATCATTAAGAAAATAAAAGACAATCAACCGCAGACCTCTCTACACTGTGAAATTAATATGGATAAATGATCCCATCTGCAACACAGTACTGCAGCATAGCATTCTGCATCCAAAAACAAAACAGAACAGAACTCCATGATTAGTTTAATGGGTTAATACTGGGAAATCTCACCCCCACATCACAGATGAAGTCTGTTAAGTCCACAATGGAGTCAAGACACAATGACTGCAACTGGTAGGTCATAATAGTGGCCAAGCAATTATAAAACTGGGACATCTTCTTTGGAAAATCTGGATTTGGCAACAGCTTCTTTCTCTTGCCCTAGCACAAAGAAACACTGTTTCATTTATTGATTAAAATAATTCAAATCATGCTAAGTAACTTGATAGAGGAAAGTCATTCTTGAGAAACTGACAATCACTCAGCTAGTCAAGAAATTTCCTACCTTTTATGGAATCCAGAGGTATGTTTCTGTGTTCCTAAGAACCCTATGAGGCCCTAAGCAACTTTCTGTAACATGCTGGTTCTTTATGATGAAGAGTTATTAGCCCTTTCCTCAACCCGAAGGCTGGAGGACCACCTGTTGAAGTTCTGTTACTACTTATTCAATATATTCACAACTATTCATACCTGGAGGCCTTCTCCACCATCCTCAACCTGTGGATGCACCATGATGTAGTGACAAGGGACTCACTGTAATAACTCATTTAGTAAAGTGACAGACAATACATACACACATACATCTTTAATACATTCCATGGATCCATAAGATAGTCAGATGACAATAGGATGCGGAAAAAGTCATAATAATAATACAATACATATTATAAAGTACAACTAATACTGTTGATGAAAGACTCTCAGGCTACAAACCGCATCAGGTGGTTGAATGGTGAATACACCATATCCTGTGCCAACGTTTCGAGAGCCATTTCTGCTCTCATCCTCAGGGCAGCTGCATAACAAACTGGTCCTCTGTAGCGTGCTCCCTGATGGGAACTGGCAATGGACGGCAGGTAGTAGCATGGTGTTGCTGGTGGCCCATCCATTGCTTTGTTTCGCACTGACAAATAGAAACCGGCAGTCAAGGTCAAGTGCTCACTCTCGCTGGCTTGACCTTCCAGGCGGACAGCAATTTTGTCACATGATACCAGGCCCGGCTCAGAGTGACGTCATCATCCCTACTGAAGTTGTTGCTGTGCAGGCGGATTTCAATGGCTTCTTTTATGAGCCGGTCCACATATCCTCATGCCCTGTCCAACACCAAGGTCCGGCTGAAGTTGCCCTGCTGCCGAGGATGAGAGCAGAGATGGCTCTTGAAACATTGGCATAAAATATGGTGTATTCACCATTTAGCCACCTGACAAGGCTTGTAGCCCAAAAGCCTTTCATCAACTTCAGTTGATGCGAAAGCTTCACTTTATACAATTCATACTATTATATAAATTTCACATAACACAACAAAGGGTTCACCTAAAGTGATGATAAGCTACAAATAAATCTACCCATTACATACCGAAGATAAGTTATCACTGATTTGTAAACAATAGAAATTCATCGACAGAGTAAAAGGAGTGTGTAATTAAGTATCTTTTTAATGCTACATTAAATTGCTCCTTTTTATTCACAGGACTTGAGAGACTTGATGGTAGACTGTTGTAAATTTGGATCCCTGCATTAAATGCACTCATCTGAAAATATGAGAGGTTGGCAACTGGTCTATGAAGCTGATTTTTATTCCTTGTGTTGACACTGTGTACAGCAGAATTGGTTTGAAAAAGTTCTTGTTTATTTACAACAAAGTTCATTAATGAGTATATGTATTCATAAGGAAGAGCTAAGATCTCAAATCTCTTAAATAGACTTCTACATGAATTTATAGGTTTTACACCAGCCATTAATCTAACAATTTTCTTTTGTAAAGCGAATATCTTTTTGCTGTTTGGTGAATTACCCCCCAAAATTATTCCATATTTCATTAAGGAGTGAAAATAGGCAAAATATACTGATCTGAGTGCATCAGCATTGCTGACATGCAACAGAGATCTAACTGCACAACATGCTCTACTTAACTTAGGTATCAGTTTATCAATATGATTCCTCCAATTTAGGTGATTATCAATTTGCAAACCCAGGAATTTTGTATTTATTGACTCTTGTATATACTTTCCATTATAACCAATACTTAAAGCATATAGTGGTGAGTTATTTGTTATAAATTTTATTATATTTGTTTCATCTAGATTTAGGGCCAGCTTGTTAGCAATAAGCCATTTACTCATATGAGACAGATCTATGTTTGATGTTAAACAGAAATCATGAAGATTTTTATTATAAATTGACACTTGTGTCATCAGCAAATATTATGGGTTCTGTTAAAGTATTCATTGTTTTTATTGTTGGAGGAAGGTCATTTGTGTATCTATTATAAAAATTTGCCTGCCACGGTGGTCTAGTGGTCAGAACACTAGCCTTGTAAGCCTGGGGTCCTGGGTTAAATTCCCGGTGGTGCTCAAATTTATAACTTGTGTTGGGCAAGGCCGTGGTCTAGGCATCACGGAGTTTTCCTCCGGGGGCTTCCCCGGTTTCTCCGTGGCATC